ATGAAAAAGAAAGACCCTAAAATTTCAGGTTTAATGTTAGAGCTAGAGCTAAACCAACCTGGCAGTTGGTTTGTATCTTACACAGAACCAATTCAGATGAGGGTAACAAAAGTTCACATTTAATTCACTCTAAAATATTTCTGACAATGTTAATTGATTTCAAAGATTTCATCTGAAGAAATAAGAGGACTACATTCAAGAAAAGAAGAGGAGGACAGGGAAGAATTGGCAGAAATTCTCTTTCATGTAGAGATTCAATTTTTACTGTTCTCAGATTTTTCATCAGTCCTTAATAAGCAGTGAGCAGAAGCTGCAGGCAAGGGCAGTGAGAGATGCTGGTCCCTCTCTTTTCAGGAACCTATGCAGGAGAAGGGTGTAAAGAAAGCTTGCGACATGAAGCATTTATGCTCATTTCAATGCTGTCTCTCCAAGGGTAGGTTTGGCTACAGGTGGCTGCTTGCTGGCCAATGTCAGTTGGTGTGTCACCGGCCCTGAGGGTGGAGTTTTCTGGAAGAAGGAATCAAACCAGAATTAGCCAAGGTTCCAAGATGCCTCTCATAGATGGAAGTAGCGTGAGCAGGTGTGGAGAAAGGTCGTTTCCATGGCAGCTGTCACTAGGCGCTCTGCCAGGGAGGCTGTTTGGTACTTAGCAGACTGGTTGCAAGATATCAGCAGTTCCAAACTATAAGCCCTGCTCTTCAATGTCAACAATTTATCCTGAGCTCAAAAATCTTTGCATTTGCACCCTCCCTCACCCATATGTTGAGACTGCAGCTCCTTAGAGCCCTGCTATAAGCCACCATCCATGAGCAGAGAAAAATCAGAGAGCAAGACATTATAGTATACAATGAGAGAGACAGGGAATCTAACTCCTGCTCTTGTTTTCTAGCTGAATAAATTGAGGCAAATTATTTCATCCCTTAAGCCTCAGTTTTCCATTCTGTAAAGTAGGCATGAAACTATTACTCTTGTCCTCATAAAACTATAATGAAGAATAAATGAGATAATCCACATAAAAGTACAAAGCCAGGCTCTTAGCAAGAAACCAACGATGTTTAGCTGTTGTTGCAAATAATAACTGTAAATAAAGATGAATGGAGTAGAAATGCAGAGAAAAGCAGAGAGAAATGAGGCTCTTTGGGGAGTATTATTCAAAAGCATCAGAGGTGTATAAGAGAAAACAAGACATAGTGGGATGGTGGGCATGCATGTGATGAAGAATAGAATTAGACTGGGCCAGCTCTCCAGCTAATGTTGCAGGATTTTCTATCATTTAGGAGTATTATCCAAGGGGTGAGAGCCCTTTGGGATAAACCTAGACAAGTGGTGGAAAAGCAAATCAGAAACCTTTCTAGAAGCTGGCGTAGTGGCAATAAGTCCTAAGTATCCCAAGCAACCAACCCAGAAGTTGTTGAATGTGGTGAGAGGTGGGCCTTGGCCGTCAGTGTACCTGCAGATGTAAAGACAGGGCAAGTGAGGAGGCAGCTCCTAGATGTCAGTGTTCACGATTGGGAAAGAAACTGGAGTCAGAACAACTCCAGGTTGGAATCCCAGGGATGTTGCCAATGTCTTTTGAAGGGCCTTAGAGCCTAGAGGAGCTACAGTCTCAACATGTGGGCGAGGGAGAGTACAAATGCAAAGGTTTTTCAGCTCAGAATAAATTGTTGACATTGAAGAGCAGGAGAAACCTATTTAGAAGTCTGAATGAATGTAAATGACATCAGATGTTGGCATTCAATTATTTTTAAGGTGACAGTAAAACTACATTTCGAGATGTAGGGAAAATAAGAAATGTAGCAAAAATATGAGACTTTAATTGACCTAGAGATAGTTTCAAAATGTTCTGAAGATAAAAAAGGATTGGAAAAATATCTGATGTGTCAGAACTCACCAGCAGTGATGCAATGCAAAGCAGAAAGGAAACCAGGTTGTAGAACTATTTCCACACCAATCTCATGAACTCACAGGAGCTGCGATTTGAAAGACCCAGAGACACCAACACAGTCTCTGTGATGCTAACTTCTCAGTACTGACTAAGAGTCTGATAAGGAACAGAACTTTGCAGGGTATAGATAAAAGAGAACTGGGACGACAGAAGAAAGAAGTACATGAGAACCCTCACAAATGAAAACTCCACAGATGCAGATCATATCTTTGTAACACCATCTTGCAGGACACCTCTGCCTTTTCACCACCCTTTACCACCTTACAGTCTTGAATTCTGAGTTTTGTATCTTTGACCCTCTTAATTCCCCTTTATCAAATGTGAGTAGCCAAATCCACTTACCTGTGCACACATAGCCATTCGTTCAATGTATACTTAATATGTAGCAACAACATAGAGGATATCAGTTCTGCACTCCGAGAGCTTACAGCATGGGGAAAGGCATGTGTTCACAGAAAAATTAATAGAACACAAAGCAGGAGATCAGTATTATGAATTCTGGAAAGACAGTGCTTTGAGGATGTGACATTGGAGGCAAAAATTGTGAATTCTCTTTGGGTGGACTGAAGGGGTTCATGGGGGTTTAGGATTTCAACAGTGAGGGGGATGCGAGTGGATGTTTTAAGTTGAGAGCAATGGGAATGAGCTGAGATGTTTTGAAGAAATAACAGGAAATCTGGTGGCAGGGAGGACAGGAGAGTGGAAGACACACTTCCAATCATGGAGGGCCTGGTTTGACAGGCGATCAGTTCTATATATACCAAAGATATTGCTCTTAGCAATGTGGCACAGACAGACAAATAGTTCTGAGATAAAAATGACAATGGCCTGTACTGAGCCTCTTGTTAAAAAGACGGAATGGGAAGGAGAAGTTGAATTTGAGAGACACTGGAGAGGTAGAATCCAAGACCAAAGGACCTGCTGGGTTTGGAGAAAGGAAAGAGGTTAGAACATAGACCCTTTTCAGAATTCTCATGCTCTTTAGCCTTTCTCTCCCACACATTATTGCTTACTATTCTTGGCTTCTGGAAGCTTCCTTCTGTTTCTTTTAATGAGGCAGCGCTGCCCTGCTTTTTCTTCTATTCATAAGCAAAAAAACTTCAATGATCTTTGGTTAGAAATTTGGCTCTTCATTCCAACACTCATCTCTCCAAAAGATTAAGTGATTTATGTGACTCGGAGGTCAAGTTTGTGTTAAGTGGTAGGTCTGAGACCATGAAACTTATCTACTGAGCTGAGTTCCAACCCTGGGAGAAAAGAAAAAGATGAGATTTAGTTGCAGGTGTGCACAGATGTGAGCTTAGGGAATTGAAATGTTCCTAAAATTTTTCTGGTAGGGGAACTTAATGCTTCATACTGGCAGGCAAAAAATAGTTTGAAGTTCATTCCCAAGATAGTGAGTTTTTAAATAGATATTTGATTTAGAATGGTCGACATATAAATCTTCTTCAGGCTTCCACGTGAAGCACATGTTTGATCCAACAGACAGCAATGAGTCTTTAAGAGCTGTAATGGCCCATCATGTCAGAGGGTATTTATGGATTTACAGAGTCTTCAGATATCTGCTTCTTGTGCAAGCATGATAAAAGCCCTGTTAAATTTTTGCTCAAATAAATGAGAGCTCAGCTAGCTGTGTTTCTTAAATTAAATGACTCAGCCATTGTTCACTTGTAAAATACCCAGGGGTCCTAGTCTACATTTTGGAGAAATGTGTTGTAACATTTCTATTGGAAGAACAATGTGGTTTGGGCTCTGTAGGAAATCACTAACTTCTATTTTTGTTTTTTTGCACTGCTAACTTAATAAGAAATATGCTGCAGAATACAAGTTTTTCTGGCAGGCATTTCTCAGGTCATATCTCTAGCGACACACGAGGGTGATGGGAGCAAAATAGTTTTATATTTGAAAAACTGATTTGGGACATAGGTCAATAATGTTAGGAACCAAATATTTTGTTAGACTGAACTAATAGGACTTAGAAGCTAATGGTCTTAGAAATGGAAATCTTGCCTGTTGAACCATTGAGTTCTCATTTCCAGGAAGAAGTTGAAGGTTTTTTTTTTCTCCTCACCATCTTTTTCAATCCTTTTCTTTGATAAGAACAAAAATTAATAGCCATTTTCTGTATTTTCACAAACTGCTTGTTAGGATATGGAATTAAAGTACTCTTTTCATTCAACATTCGGAATAAAATATTTTATAAGTAAGTTGTCATAATTTTTTAAAAAATTAATGATACTGGGGATGGAACCAAGGGTTTTGGGTATGGTAACCAAGTGCTCTGATACTGAGCTGTGCACACCCGCCCCCCCTTCAAATGAAGCTTTTGACTAACTGATACTAGAACACTCAATTCTGTCAGAGAACATTCGGGCTCCCAGGGGTCTTCCTCATTCCATGAGTCATGGCTTTGACTCAACTCAAAATCGAAGACCAAAAGTTTTCTGATCAGTTGTCAGTCAGATAAGTCTGGGGCCTCAGGGATAATTGCTTTAAAACAAATAAAAGTCCTTTCCTAATCTATACCTCTTAGTGAGGTCAATATTGAGGAAGGACTGGATATAATGTTGCTTTCTTTGACTACTGAAATGGGAACATGAATATATTAATAGCCATGTCCAGAGCAAAGTCTGGGAGCTTAAAGAAGGCAGCCACCACCATCATCACTATAATGGCCTCCCTGGCTGTCCTCCTGAATCCCCAGGAGATGGGCAGAGTCTCTATTTAATGGTGTGGGGCTTAAGAGATTGAAAGAGTGGAAGAAGTATAGGAGGCCCTAGACCTTTCAGTTGTGTCCAAAGGAATCGTCTTTCCTTTGAGTCAAGTTCCTCTGAGTTGAAGAATAAGTTGCTTCTTGACTTGCCAAGGAAGAACTCAGTTTTTGTTAAAGAATCTGAAGTGAGCCGCCTTAACTTCTATTTACTTGTGATTTAAATGATGATTATTCAGGGAGCATGAAGAAGCTGTAAACAATTGAGGCTCTTCTAAGAACCACTGGAATTCCAATGAGATAATGCAGGCACATATTCAAAGAACACTAAGAAAGCTGATTCAGTCAGAGGCACTGAGGAAGCAGAGGTAAAAAGTTGGTTCCCAAACGAGAAGGGAATCCTTTGAAAAAGCCAACTTTAAGTCCCCTGCTATGACTCTTCAGGGAGATTACAGAATCAACACCCAGATTGAATGGACTTTCAGAAATATAAAGCCATAATTATTTCCTCAGTTATGAAGATATTTACTCTTTAGGCAAGAGGGGAACTCACATGTGTCTTCCCCTTGAGCCGCCTTCTATCAGTTCCCAGGTGAGTCCTTAAAGGGAATGGCGGAAAACCCTTCCTTGAGTTTCCCAGCCTCTTTCTAGCACTGTCTTTTGAAGGGAAACCACCAGCTTCACCTGAATTCAGGGCTCAAGGGATCTGACAATGGTGTGCATAGGTCTAAGGGATGGTCCTTTGGTTCTGGCCACTAGACTCCATCAGGTAAGCAATGGGGACCAGAAAAGAGGCTTGATGAGAGCTGTGTTCCATAAAGACCATTCTGGAATTCACTCTCGAAGAATGAATTGGAGCAAGAAAAGGACAACAGCATAGTCCCTAACATAACAGAATGCCCCTAACATAGTCATAACTTCTCATATACTTGAAGTGAGAGATGATGAGATTTGAAGAACAGGCAATGATGACTTTTGATACCAAGACTGTAGCTATGGTATCAAAAGCAATCATGATTCTAATACACCTCCTCCTGACCCCAGATCATGTCGTGCCCACCTTAGTGGTCTCAGTGCCTATGCCTGCAGTGTCCCAAGAGGTTCACCACACCTTCCTCAGTCATGAGTTTACTTGTCACAGCATGTCTATTTCCAACAGGTTTTTGTGTGCATTCCTTGCTAAGAGAGACTTTGGGTATGTTTGTAGTTTTGGCTCAGGGCCATTTCCTCATCTTGCTTATAGCTAACCCAGAAAATTTTTCTTTATCTTGATCACCTTCTAACTTCTGATCACAAAGACAGGACACACAGGGACAGCCCAGAAAACAGCTTCTCGTTTTCAGGATGATTTAGGTCAGGAGAGGACTCTATACAGCTGAGACCAATGTGGACTCATAATAATAAAATAATTATTATAGCTTTGTACTTTGTACTCAGCACTAGTTTTATACTAGTCTCTGGGGTCAATGTTTTATATATATCTTGTTATTTAATCCTCATAACAATCCTATGAAGTGGGCACTGTTAGTATCCCTATTAAGCAAAGAGAAAACCAAGGTCCAAACAGAGTTTAAGAAACCTTCCCAAGGTTTCATAGATAGTAGGTGGCACATAGGATTCAAATCCATGTCTCTTATTCCTGAGCTCTAGCTCTGTGACCTTGTGCCAGGAAGAATAATAATGCTGCATCATTCCCTGCACAAGTGCTAATCTATTTCTAGTCCAGTTCCATAGTGCAAAGTCAAATTAAACCAAATTTTTCCAAGTCTGATTCAATATAGGGAGATAAGCCCATCTTAATTCATAGAAGACTTAATCTAGCATTTGGATCTGAGTTTCCCAAAGAGGGTAGTTTACCAGAGGATCCAGATGAGATGAACTTTCAGACTCACTGCAGAGTGGGCCTCATCTAGCTCCAGTGAGAAAAGAACAGAATATATCCAGCACCTATGATATCCTTCCTTCAAGGGTTGGTGACTAGATTCATCCCAGTCATCTTGCAGAAGCTTCCTGGCATGGGGTTTCTAGTACTAAATTAGTGACACTCAGGAGCCATCAATCTTCCCAGACTTAAAAAAAGGGTCAGATGAAGTTCTGTACTTGAGCATTAGTGACAGATTAGTTCCAAGAGCACTGAAAGCCATCTGCCAAGGGAAGGGGATCTGTTAGCCAGTGCTCTAAGATCAAGCCTATACTTGCACAGTAAATTATCAGCTAAAGAAGTCATTCAGTCCCAAGTGCAGAAGCTACTCCTGATTATCAGCTACCGAGCATTTCAAAGAACCTTTAAAAAGTCTGATGGCATAGAGAAGGTAAACAAAAGATTAATATCCAACATTTATATGCAAGCAATACATCATTAATGATCATTATGGAGAACTTGCTTAGTTCAAATGAGGTTCCAGAAGACTGGAAGCATTTCACTGTAGCACCAGTATTTATAATAGCCACCCTGGGGAACAGCAGGCCCATCAACTTGACATAGCTAATATGCAACGTAATGGAAATAAGTAGAGGTGAAACGGAGCCACACGGACACAGAATTATCTTGGGAGCCAACTTCCATGCAAATAATTAGAAACTGCCCTGTTTATTAGCAGAGTGGAGAGGACATTGCCTCAGACACCTTAGGTCACATTTTAACTTACCATTTAAAACTGGCACAGCATGTTGCCCTGCTTCTTAAAACCCACAGCAAAGAGCATTCGATGCAATTGACAGAGGACAAACAGTTTCTAAAGGAATTTGAGGAACATGTTTGTTCACATGGTTGGGAAGCAGCACCATACTGGGGAAAAAGAGGTGGTCTTTTTTAGTTCTTGTGGCTGTGCAACATCTTCAAGTCCATTAACCTATCCTTCTATTAATTTTCTGAACTGTAAAATGTGGATAATGTTGCTTAACCTGTGTTGCAGTGTAAATTAAAAGGCATATATAAAAGTACTTTATAGAATATAAGAAAGGAGAAGCAAATGAAAATGGTGCAATGAGGTCAAGCATCGAATTTGGAGAACACCCTGGCTCTGTGAAGACTAGACTCCCTCTCTAAAAGGGCCCTTGGGCTGTGACCCACTGTTGCTTTGCAGAAATGCAGGACTGGTGTCTAAGTTGGGTCTTCCCATTTAAAATCAAAACTGGAAATAGTTCTTTATTTTTATTTACTTGATAATAAATCTTTTAGTTTTTTGCTAGGTGCAGAAGTGCACATCTGTAATCTCAGCAGCTTGGGAGGCTGAGGCAGGAGGATCCCAAGTTCAAAGTCAGTGTCAGCAGCTTACAGAGACCCTAAGCAACTTAAGTGAGACTCTGTCTCAAAATTAAAAAAAAATAAAAAGGGTTTTGAATGGGGCTTAGTGAATAAATGCCCCTGGGTCCAATCCCTGGTAGCAAAAAAGAAAAAAAAAAAAAAAAAAGAAAAAGGATTCTTTCAGTTTTAAAGTGCAGCAACTAAAACAAAAATTTCTAAAACTCTGTGTATGCAGACTGCATCCTGTTCACAGACTATTAGTCCTCTCTTCAACCTTTCCCCAATGGATAAAATGGTATAAGCACAATTAAGAATTTTATTAGTTGATAATAATAGTAATTACTAACATTTATACAATTACAGAAAAGAATACTTATTGTGAATCAAGTCTTTCTCTTCTTACCCCTCCTCCTCCTTCTTCCTCCACTTTTTCCTCTTCTTCCTTGTCCTCTTCCTCCTATGAAAATTGTTTTTTTAAAATTTTTATTGAGATATAATTGTCATATAAAATTGTATATATTCAAGATATACAGCATGATGATTAGATTTTTTGTTGTTGTTTTGTTGTTGTTTTTCCAGTGCTAGGGACAGCCCTATGTGTGCTAAAGATTTTTTTTTTTTGGCTAAAATTATCTAAATTTTGTATAAGCTTTAATTTAAAAAATAATTTTTGTGGGAGATTTATTTTATTTTTAAATTCAGTAGTGGATATGATGCAGAAGCCTTCTGTCCTCAGCTTTTCTTGACATAACCCTTCTCTATGATCATTCCAATGAAACATTTTTTTCTTGAAGCATAGTTAATTGTAGATCTTTCCTGTAAATAAATACAGAGATTTGCTAACATTTCTTCTCATACAGTTACTTCTGTTTAGCTTACTTGACCTATGGAGTTTGCAAACTGAGTAAAACTAGCAATTCATATTTATTTCACTAGGCAAAGTAAAGCAGGGATTGGCTACAGAAGGTGATTTCTTCACCTGACCTAGGTATTAGAGATGGCCACGAAGGCGGAAAGTAAACCCCGGGATGTCAGTCCTGCGTCAGCTTCCAATACAAGGTAACTGGGTCCAGAGGAGGCATGGCAATATTTCATCTTCCTGTTATTGTATAGTGAAGCCTACCCCAGAGGTCTGTTATCCTGGAAAATAGTATCCAGAGGGGGTCTTCAAATTCAAGAAAGACATTTCCAAGAAGACCTAGGAAATACAGAAAAAAGACACCTCATGGAGAGAAGCAGGCCTCATTTTTCTATCAGTAGGTACAATGATACATGAACATCCGAACAATGAATGAAATGAACGACTTAGTTGGCCTTTGTCAATCTATGTTGATTTATGTTTATTTGCATGACTGCTGGAAGAACATCAAAAAGAACATCTAAAAAGCAGTTTTTCTTTGCAGGACAAGTAGAATGAAATGCTCATTTGTAGTGATTACTAATAAACAACTAACAAGGAAAAAGAATGGAATTACTTAAAATCCTTAAGCAGGTAGGAGCTTATTGTTTGCCAGTCTGAACTCAGAGTTCGAGTTCCTACTCTTTCTAACACATTCCCACTCTTTGTCTTTTCTGCCCAGCCATTGCCAGCATTTTCTTGGAGCATGAATGACCCAGACCACAGAAAACAGTTTAACTTTTCAGAAGAAGCTAGCTAAAGAAGGTCAAGGTCATAGTGAAGGAAATCAGAAATGGACTCATACCAGGGTCACTGTGCAGTGCATCGGGAATGATTCCAGTGTGCATGAATAATGAAGTTGGGCAGAAAAGAAAAAAAAAAAAAAAACAGGCAGACATAACCAGAGGAGTGCTGCGTCATCTATCTGTCCAGGGGCTCAGGGCCTTCATCCCTTCTCTTCCCGTAAAAGCCTGAGTGTTTCCCTAAGGGAACCAGGTGATTACAAGAGGAAGTGAGTGGTAATCCACGAGGGGATCTGAAACAAAAGCAAAATAAGAAAAGAAACTTCCCTTCATGTGCCCTTCACCAAAGGAGCATTCATTCTGAGAAGCAGAGTTCTCTGGAAATGGTGTTTCCTTGGCCTGTGAGAGGGAACTAGCTGGTGAATTCTCAGAAGTAACCACACAAAAAGTCTTGGGATCATGAAAATTTGTAGGTACCCTTGACATTACTCATGAAAAAGGAAATGTTAGCTATTAGAAAATTCCCAAGAATGAGCTATTTGGGGACAGAAAGAAGAACAGCAGTGATTTTTTTTTTAGCATGAACAACACAACACTCCCCCAGCCCTGGCCCCCAAGTCTATGAAGTTTATGGGTCTGAAGCTCTTTAAGTAACTATCAAATGTGTATTTATAGAGCTTTGGAACATTCTTAGCACCATGCTAGAGGTTTCTTTCCACAGCTATCAAGAGAAGGCTTTTTTCATTAAGGAAGGGCATCACTTGTAGGTGTAGAGTTGGTGGGGTCAAGAGAGAATTTTATGGTCTTCAAACTTAACAGGACTTATACCTTAGCCCTTTATTCTACATGGAAAATTCTGTGCACATTTCAGAGGTAGGGACATCAAAGAAATCATAGGGTTTTAGGCAACTTGCAGCCTGTTGCAAACCCGAAGTTAATGCCCTATGGAGCATTAGATCCAATTAAAGTGGGGACTGCTTTGCAGTTGCCAAGTTTCATGCAACTTCCCTCAGAGTTGAATGAGGAGTAGGAAGGCAGGCCCAGAGCAAAATGAGCTGAGTCGGGAAAGGGGAAAATAGATTCGGAATGTAAAAAGCAGGGCTCTTGATGGGCTGAAGAACTGACACATGGAAAATGTAATGCATTATTGACAAACACGTATGCTGGCTGCAAAAATAATTAACACAAGCAGAAAAGAAATAGGAATGAAATGGAGCAGAAAGACTTTGAAAGATTGTGAAGTGGCCGCTGAAATTGCCAACCTAATGTCAGAGAGATGATTAAAATTTTCCAATAGAACAGGTGAATAGGTACTTAGGAGGGTGTGATGTAAACCAAGAGAGAGTGGATCATTATATGAGTCTACACTGAGGTACTAATCAGCATTTTATGTGCAACTTTGCAGTGCACATTTTAGCAGATGGAGGAAGCTCTTAAAAGCTGATAGCTAAACCGAGTCTGACTGCCTTTCTGTTTTATAATAACCATCCCTGGAATGGGTGCTTGTTCCAAGTGAACACTGCACAACCAGTTTCCACAATAGGATTCTAGAAATATCAGTGTGCTTACAAAGTAAAGTTATCTGCAGAAACTTAGGATCCGGGGAGAGGAAAGGGAAGGCAGGGGGTATTTAAGTCTTCCTAAATTGGGATCCCTGGGTGGAAGGCTCTAATTAGAAAAACTGGTTACTTAGCAATCAGGACTTAAAGTGAAGATCAAGTGACAGCAAGGAGAAATTATTCTGCAGGCCAAACTGTATTCATGAACGCAAGTGCACGTGCACACGCAAGTGCACGTGCACACGCATGCGCGCACACACACACACATACACACACGCTCCTGCAGAAACTGTATTGCTGCAATAACAAAAACAATTAGATGGTGGATTGAGGGTATGTTAAAAGAGAATAATTCTTCATGATCAGAATGACTTTTTTGCTCATTCAACAGAAAAAGACTCTTATTTTTTATTTGTTGGCAAAGCCAAATTAGAAAAAATATATATCTTTACGACCACAGGAGACAAATGAGTGATACCAAATATCACTAAAAATGCTATTAATCTACAGTGATATAAAATTACCATCTCAGCACAAAGAAAGCCTATATAATCTGAATTTCTCTAGCATCATAAAAACGAATGAGAAGCGAAATTGAGAGTAAGTATGCTTTTGAGATGCTGTTAAGAAGTTACATGCATTGTTAACAAATGTGACTAGACAGACTGGTGATTTACCTTGAGTAACACATTTACAGAGACATAGAAAATTTCCAAATGGGACCAACTCATTGCCCTGTGCGCTGGTTGATGACACCTTTGAGGGTGTTATTCTCCTGTCTTAGACACTAAAGTGTGGTTGATTAGCTATTGACTTTATGGATTATATCCCCCTGTTTTCCTTTGCTGATTTTCTGTATATATCAGAAGACAAAAGAAGCTGGGGGTGGGGTCAGGGTCTGGTGAGGAAAAGGATACAGATCGGGACTTTCTCCTTCACATACCAGTGAGGAACACAAAGGACTGTTGGCTCCATTGCTAATCTGACTAAAGCCCCCATTCGGTTATTCTTCCATGGTCTCACATCTCACGCCTCCAGTCTATGGAAGAGACGCAGGACAATGGCTGGGTCAGCATCTGACAGGAAGTGGAGGGCAGTGGCAGGCAGCAGGTGGTGGAGGGGGTGGGAAGCCAATGAGAATGTGGAAGAGGAGGGGCTGAATGAGATAGAAATGGGAGCAGGAGGGAGACTAGTGTTTCTACTTCTTCCATATTATTAAAAAAGAACGAATGAACCAAAAACAGAGAGAAACCCATCATCACTATCAATAGCAACACTTAGGGAACATTTGGAAAGGGAAACGTGACAATTTTCAATTTGTCTCAAAGTGATATGGGAACAGTATAATAAGGTGGTAAAAGTTGACCACAAGGCTACCAGTAGCTTCTGGCAGTTCCTTGCTGGCCAGGCGAAGGGGCAAGAGCTGTTGCAGTGGATTTGCTCCTTTGTGAAGGCTTCCTTCTACAAGATTCTAACATCACTATTTTAATATCACTACTATAATACTCATGCAAGACATCCCCATTAGATGAGCAGGGACTCTTATTTAGAAACCCTTTCTACTGAGCATTGTAAGGGCATATAATTAGAACAAGGTTAATCTGGAAATAAAATTGAAGTCCCACTCCAGTTCATCATGTTCTTTCCTTGAACCTTTTCCTACCGTCACAGTAGGCAGAGACAGCAGCTGCAGGACAAGAGGATACTGGGCATGGCCTTTGGGGCCACAGCAGACGTTTCAGGGTTGACTGCAGGGGAAAATCCAGGTTTATGAGATCTTAAGTTTGTGAGGCACTCCAAAGAAAAAGAGTTCAAAAAGATGAATACAAAATCAGGTATGAATAGGAAGACTTATTTTGAATGAGTAAATAAATCACACTTATCATCATCAGAAATTTTATAAAACTGACTAATATCAGAATTTTAAAAGCGTCAGGAAAATCACATTATGACTTTAGTAACTAATTGCCTGATAGAGTTCTATAAAGATTGTTTCCCTACCTCTCTGCTTTCATTATCTATGATTGCCTCTTTATATGGTAACGATTTTGCAATATTTTCTCGAGAAAAGATAGACAAGTAATTCAGCTTTTCCTCTAGCATTGTTGCTCAAAATGTGGTTATTGATGATTTCAAAAGGTGACTTTTCACTTCAGCCTTTTATTGGCAATGCCATATCTGTAAATTCCTCATCAGTTTCTTGCCTGAAGCCAAAGGTTTTGGAGCCTGTCGATCCTCTGATGCAACTGGGCAGCTCCTCACTCCCCTGCCCCAGCTCCCAGGCACAGGTCTGATTTAGATTCCTGTCCCTGAAGGTATAGATAGGCCAGGATGCTCAAGTTGGCAGTCCAGAAGTTACCATTAGGTATCAGGTAGATGAAGAGGTGCTTTGAGGTTCACCAACCCAGTCAGCAATCCCAGGACCACCATAGGCAAGGGAGCTATGCCCCCAGAGCAAGTGGGTGTTCTTTGTGTCCTTACTGGGGTGGCTGCTTTTTTCTGCAGGTGACACACGAGCCTTGGAAAACACCTTGAACGTTAATCTTCTCCAACTATGCTGTGGATTTACCTCAAGATGCCCCTGGACAAATTATGAAATAGAAGGTTCACTTTCAGGAATTCCATCTCTTCTTGGGATATTTCTTGTCCTTGAAATGAAACTGCAGGGGATATTCACAAATATATTTACACAATAAATTTGAAGCTCAAAGGAACTTTTCTAATCCATCAATAATAAATTATCAAATTTTGATGCATACGGTTAAAGGCTAAAGTTATCTTTCTAGCTCTCTGTAGATATTACTATATCACAACACTGTCATATGAGGAGTCAACCAGAGTGTGCAGTCAAAAATTGTACAGGAAAAAAAAAGGAACTGTAGTGGTATGGACTCCTCACCTACCCCAGAACCCAGAGGAGACATCTCCAACCCTGTGGTACTTGCTCTTGGCTTCCTGGGAGAGCTCATTAAACAATAATTTTCTTCTGAGTAAATGCTTGGAAATTAGTTAACTCTCCCCATACCTTGGGTGATTTGATTTCAACCAGAACTCTTTAAATAAAATTCCATGATTTTAAGGAATTTAACTGTAACGGTGGGATTCAGTGGAGCCAGTAGGAAAGATGCTGCGATGTTGGAATAATTCAGCTCATCTAGTCCAGGAGATGGACACACCCATGACATTGATGCCTTAAGGCAACAAGTCTGAGCTTAGCAGGTTTTGATTACTTGTCAGTTTATGATCTGTGACTAATTTTGTAGCCTTCTTGTCAGTCCTGGTCCCTTCCCGAATGGACAGGGGAGTGATAGAGTGGTTATACTTACCTTTCCGGATGTGAAGGCACCTATCCCTGCTCTACATGTGGCACATGAATGTGATTTCCTTCCTCTGGTTTTACAATATAGGCTCTTGCATTTTACTGACAGCTTTCTATGGTGTCTTTCATCTTTACTAAAAGGCCCATTTATGTAACTTGAGTTCCTGTGGGGACCCAAGAGACCCCATTGTTTTTAAGTCCTTAGTATTTCCTGACTTTTGCTTTATCTTCTTCACCCAAAGAGAAAAACTTCAACTCTTGCTTCCACCCGATGGTGCTTGTTTTTGTGAAATTGATGCTAATCCTTGGAAGAAATGAGCTGACAATATTAAGTCATCTCTTTATATAGCTTTTGATGGTTGACCTTCCTAGAAAGACTGGCTTCATTGCTCAGAGAGGATGTCTGAGGAAACATGATACAGACTTTTTCTCCTCCTCAGACTTCTCCAGGCTACAAGTACTTCTAACTTTAAGAGTGCCCACAGGCAATTAGGAGCCAACACTCACGCTCAAGGGCCAGTGCCAAAGCTGCCCAAGTCTGATCAAGTAACTTAAACTCAGTTATCTTAAATCTTTTTCTCTGAATTGGATGATTAATGCTTCAAAGTTTTCTGACACTTAGAAATGCATTTTTCTGGACTCCTCTTAAAGCATGTTGATTTTAGGTATCTTAGTGGAGCTCTGTTCTGCTCTTGGCTATTAAATGTATCTGATTCCACTTATTTTTTTTTAAAATGCATTGTCTGCTTTTGAAGGACGGAAGAGACTGGGGAGAAGAAGGTAGGTAAGGTTGAATTCTGGCTCAAATGGAATTGATTAAAAAGTAGTTCTTGCCTTTTGAATCCTTGACCTTCTCTCAATCTGAGATAGTTGTTTTCAAATGTGGACAGAGATGGCTAAAAATCAATGGGCAGAAATGTTGGAGTGTAAAAGTGATTGACATGGGCACAGTTCATATCAGCAGATCCTTCTGATGCAAAGAGAAAGGGTAGTATACCTCAGCATGCTTCAAACTGATCTGTGTTCCCAACCTTAAAGAAATAAAGGAAATGTTTACAGGGGTTTTAACTTGAACAAATAGCCTTGTGGCATTAACATAGCACTGGGATAATTTTGGAGTAAATCAAGATGCTGGCTAAACTTTCCTTTATGATAAATATTTTGGGCACAGAGTGTACTCAATTTTACTATCAGTGTGATGCATACCAAGTCTTCTTTGGTTTATAGCAAGACCATTTTACATGAAGGTTATTCAAAAATCATTGATCAGTTACTAAGGTATATTCTCCTAAGAAATAAATCCTTGCTATGACCATAGTAGAAAACCATGTTAAAAATAACTTGGCAGTTGGAATGATTGAAACAACTTCATCTAATCCAGTCATTTTCCAGATGGAAGAACTTAGGCCCAAGTTGCTGGTGTGATTTAGTCAAAAAAAGGAAGGCATTCTTTAACCAGTTCTAATAGTTTGAAAGAGTCCCCTTCAAGGATGGCAATGGGAAAAGACAGTAGAATGAATCAAACATAACTTTCTTATGCTCATACAGGAATGCATGACCAGTATATAACCACATCATGTAAAACCACAAAATGGAAAGGTTTACTCCATGATATGTCAAAATACATTCTACTGTCATGTATAACTAAGAGAACAACAAAAAAAACTTTTAAAAAGAAAAAGAAAGTATCCCCTCCAAAATTTATGTATCAGAAACTTGATCATTGAAAGATGGGCCCTCTTGGGAGGTGTTAGGATTAATGCCCCTATAAAGTGGGTCTGTGGGAATGGGTTCTTTTTCTTCTGCTACTCAGTCATGTGAGAACATTATGTTCCTTCCACAGAGGACCCAGCATTAAAAGCACCAACATAGAAGCAAAGAGACAAAGCCCTAACCTGCTCATCTTGGAGTGATCTTAGAGTTTTCACCCTCCAGAACTATAAAAAAAGAAATTTTTGTTTTTTTATATACTACCTAGTCTCAGGCACTCTGTTTTAGCAGAAAAAAACTGGACCAAGACATCAGAATTAGCATTCAGGTGTTCTGATACATAGTTGAAATCAAGACTCCATATGGTAATATTTGTATACCACACTGGAATAAACTGAAGGGACCTGCGGACATCTATATGAGCTAGGCAAAAACATTTACTACATTTTCTTTGTATTTTATGATGATGATAATAAAAATAAAATACAGAGCATTAGAGATGGATATTAAATATTGAATTTATATAAAAGCTCAAAATAAATTTTTTCCAAAATTTTTAATGAGAAAGTTGAGCTTGCTTCCATGCAGATAACTATTTTACACTAAGTTTTATGTTTGAAATGGCTATGAGCAAGTCCCGATCAAGTCTTTTTAATGATCTCTTCAAATTCTTGATAGTCACCATTGATGAGAAACTTTGTTCGCACAAGTAGGTGATAAAAAATTTAAAACCATTTTTTACAGCCATTCAAAAATTTACAACGGTTGAAATTATCTTTAAAGAATCTAAGCGCTCTTCTTTTTTATTTTCTTTGACTGATGTAAATGTTGAAATTTCTTGTGATAATGAGAATGGATTTCAATCCAGTCAAACCTTTTCATTCCAAGCATTTCCAAAAGAAAGTGCCTGAGCATGCAAAATGTGCATGCAGTGCTGGAGCCCTGGCCCTGCCCCTGGCGAAGATTCCATTCAAAAGGTATAAGGATAAGGTATATGTGAATAGGTGCAGACTGCCTTCTGCACTGTGCCTTGCAAGACTCCTGCCTGGCTTCTCTGCTTTACTCACACATTCACGTAGACCTGGCTCAGACATCACACTCCTTAGCCCCTGGGACAAGAAGTTGGTAGAGAGCAAGGAGCACCTTCTTGGCTATGGTGCATTGCAGACAAGCTCATGCCATCAGCCACCTGCAGGGACTATGGGCATGCTATCAGAGTGCCTGGAGGAGTCCTAAGCTGACAACTAGCTCAGGGTTTCAGTTATCCTGGGCCTCAAGAGCTGAGAGTTATACTAACCAGCAACACAAGACTCATCTTTTTGTGGTACAGCGATCAAGAAAGCACAACAGACACAGATGGTTACTCAGCTCTACAAGTGGTGGCTTGGATCTAAAATGGGATTGTCTGCCTCTCAGTATGCATTCTTCTCCCCTTTTCATGGTTCATCTCCATCCATAATTTGACTAACATACCATTATTGAGGATGAAAATGGTGTCTCCAAGTTCTATAGATAGGCTGACAAATATGGTAGTTTCACTTCTCCTGTACAATCAATGGTGGTCCCAGAAATTCCTATAATTAGTATCTAATAGAAATTTTATTTTACAAATAAATTTAAAACAACAAATCCTATTATATCGTCTGTGTGATCTCAGAAGTACTGCTGCCCTCTCTCCAAATGTTCAGTATTAATGAGATTGGTACCATTGATCAAGTTGAAGTCAAGCAAACATCACTGAGAATAGGGGGAAAAAAAAGTATGTTTTCTTTTATCTTTTTCTTTTTTATTCCAACTCCATTCATTGTTTGACTTTGCATATGCTTCATCCATTTCAATTCCCCTGGGCTGAGCAGTTTATGTTATACAGAGCAGCAGCCTGCACTGAAAATGCCCTTCTTCCATCTTTCGGTTAAAAAAGAAAAACATTTTTTTTTCCTGCGCCTGGAGAGAAATGCTGAGTGGACAGCCCTGGCGGCTTCTGTTTATACTGTGAACAACTGCCGCACAAATCAGCACCAAGTTTCCCTCGATTTTTGCCTGGAACAATATTATCCTGCAGGGACCCACTCTGGGGGTCCAGAGGGTGATGTATTCCTTGCAGTTATATGTACATGCTCCAGAGAGCAATTTTAGCCCCTCTGATGCTGACAGAGATAGTGAACAGCAATGGAGTGGGGGGGAGCACCATGCCACTACACTCTCTTCACAACCCATCAGCAGCACACATTTATTGAGGCCCTACTAGGTACAAAGCCATGTGGCAAGTACTATGTGCTAAATCCAATGAGCAATTTTATATGCTAAGTCTGGTCCAGGATAGAAGAAATAATAATAAATATGTATTGAACATTTTCTATAGCCCAGGCACTAAATCAAAGGTATTACATGCATCATCTAATTAAGCCTCACTATGATCTAAAGAAGACTGCTATCCCAATTTTATGCAGAAGTGTATTATTATTCCTAAGATAATGGCAACCTGTAAACAGGTTCTCCCTAAGTACCTTATCCGATGAAGTACGTTTTTCTCCATCTGGGCACCTGGTTAGTTTTCTTCATAATACTTCTTGCACTTGTTTTATTTGTTTATTTATTGGACTTTTCTGGCTGTCTCTCTCACTAGCATGTCATGTTCTAGGAGGCTACAGTTCATGCAGCTTTTGTTTCACTGCCTTAGTGGAGTCCCT